GCTCATTGGTCGTCGGATGACAGGAAGCCGAACGAAAGCCGAGCGGAAATCGTTTGCATAACACGCATACGCCGCATAGGCTTAAAGGATAAAAGCCGCCGTCAACGAGGGATGTTGCTTCCTTGTTCGAGCTTTCGTTCGACTCGCGACAGGACTTCGTTGCACGTCCGGAACTTGTGCGTTCGTGTGGCATGACCTGGCAGGCTGCTTTGCCAGGATCACAAGGATACAACGTCAGCGGCTGGACAACCGTATTGCAGTTCGGTGCGGCTCTCACACCGTGCAGACGTGTTGGCCTGCCTAATAAAATAATAATAATTACTTAATCCCCACCAAATAACTTGTGTGTAAATCTCAAAAAGTTTAACAATCCTTTGGCTGAATTTTTGGTTTTTTATATAAGAGTTCCTGGAAACGGACACTTATATAATTTTGATTGTTGCTCAGAAAGCCCTTTATTTATCAGGCGGCTTTCGAGCAATAATTGAAACCAAATAAGTGAACCCGACATCAATTGAAGTGCGATCTAGTTGTTAAATGGTAAGTGTTTTTAAATTAACTTGTATTTGCTAAAGTAAGCTAAATAATTAGGCCTAATTATCTTTTAGACAAAAGTAATTATTAAATAATTAATAATATTATATTCGCATTCTTTTGATTCTAAATTTGTAGATATCTTGATATTAAAATGTAAAGGGTAATTAAAGTTTAAAATCTCATAACTCCGCCAAAAAATCATTTATTTTAATTCGGATAGCTTTCCTATGTAGTTTTGTTACCTAATAAATCTGCGTACTCAATTTAAAATTAAAAAAATTAAAATTTTATAATTTTAAATTTTAAAATGAAAAATCCTTAAAAAATTCGAAAAAATTTCAAAATTTTTTTTCCGACATGCCTAGAAAATTCGCCTGATGATGCTGATCAAGAATATATATGGATTATAGGGTTGGAAATTACTCCTTCGCTGAGTAAAAACTTTGACCAAAATTTTAATACAATTTTTTAGTAGAATTTATCAATATTATATTACAATTTTTTCTACAAATCAAAGTTTAACAAACATAACTAAGCCAAAAAGCCATTAATTTTAAATCGGAAATCATTTCTATGCTTTTTTTTCTAGGTTAATAAATCTGCGTACCCATTTAAAATGTAATTTTTTTTTTATTTTAACTTTACAATGTAATTCCTTAAAAAATTTGGAAAAATTTCGAAAAAATTTTCTTGCCGAATATAGCTAGATTGACTCCGTTTTCATGCTAATCAAGAATATATATAATTTATAGGGTGGAAATGGCTCCTTCATGATTTGCAAGCTTCTGACCAATATTATAATAACTGGTAGATATTAATCATATAAATTATAGAAAGGTAGTTAAAACTATTAGTATATAAATAAAGCATTACCACATTATCGAATAGATATATCAATCTAAACAGAAATAGTTTTTTTTTGCTTGGTTCATTGTGCCCCGAAAAATAAACATTTCCTATTTCTCTGAACTCGCCCGCATTGACAACAAACCAAGACGACTTCCCCCTGCAATTAGTCACCAGAAACCAGAGCGTCGTTGAACTTTGTTCAACTAAAAAACAATTGTCAAACGCACGGAAAGTACCCATAAAAAGCACCCACAAATCGAAGCGACCTTCACATTGAATGCGTCTAAGAGTCGACGAGTGTCAATGCACCTGACAAAGCGAACAAGTTTTGTGTTTTGTTATTATTATTTATATTCGGTTTCGGTATATTCACACACAATGGCCACAAGCGATAGGTTTTAATAGCCAATTTGCTTTTGTGAATTAGCATTTTTAGTGCGAAACTGCTGCGATCAGTGAACTCGATGGAGATGGGATGGGTTTTTGGTTTACGCTTTTTAAGGAACCAAAGTCAAGAACTATTAACAATTCTTAAAGCGTGTTTTTGGGTGATCTACTGAACTGATTTGTCTGCTTCGAATGCGAACTATGACTATGAATTATTTATAGTCTGACTTTCAGTTTCAATTCCTTATTTTAAGCAACTTTATAATTATTTAAATAAAAGACAGCTTCCACCTGCATCCCAGAGTAAATGGGACATTTAAATACGACCTCAGCAATTGCATTGAGTGATGTCTATGTGTGCGTTTGTGTTAGCCATGTTTGTCGTAATTTTAAGGGCAATGTTAATGCCAAAGTGACTGCCGACATTACATTGATTGTCGCGACATTGAATTTCAATTATTAGTTTGGTTCCAATCGCAATTCAAATGCTTCGCGGACATCCTCATTTGCATAATAAAAGCCAGCCCAATGATTAGACCAAGTCCAAACTGTTGATGGAAATATGACGCTTAAGGTTATTTTACAATGTGAGAACCTAATTATGCACAAATGCAGGCAATGAAAAATGTAAAATGATAACGAGAACTAGGGAAGATTTCAGGGTAGTTAATGAGTTTGGATTTTGTGTATGAATAATTAAGGAAATAGTGTTTTTCCGTAAATAAAATAGCTTTTCCAGTAGAAATATCCTTTAACTAGGTCTAGAACTAAAAAATATGACACAAAACATTTAAAGAAGAACAAAACGTTTAATAATAACTAAACAAGCTTGAAATAAGAACACAACTTTATAATGAAACTCATATCCTTATGCAATTATTGCATAACAGATGTTAAGCAAGAAAGAAACAATATTATATATCCCCTTGTGAGTCAACAAACTTCAGAGTAAATTCATTCATCTTACAACAATCTCAATAACACCTTAAGTACGTGTTTATTAATTGCATATATAAGATACTCGAAATGCGGATAATGGGGCAATAAACTGGGCTGCTACCACACACAATTCCAGCATAAATATTGTCACACCTTTTGTTGTACTCTATATTCAATGTCATGAACTTCGTGTTGGGTCATAAAAACGCTAAAACACATACAACTTTATTTTCGGCTATTTGTTTACCTTTCGGGTTTTGTTTTCGGCAGCTCCTTAATTCGACAGACGAACCACACCGCCAATTGAAATGCCAAAACGTGTGCACATGACACCCACACAAACACTCTACACACTCTATAAAGGGGAAGCGATGAGACAGCCAGTGCAACGCTCAAAAAAAAGCTCAGAGCAACAGGTGCCATTATGCCATATAACGCACATGCCCGACTTCCGTCTGTTATCAGGCCAAGAGAGCCAACAATGGCAGAGAGCGAGAAGGTATTGAGCTTTCCGGCTAATCCCCGCATAGAACAGCGGACGAAAACAAAAAATATGTCAATGGGAACTGAGGCGCCGCTTAGAGGCACCTATATATAAATTAATTGGCGCACAGAATATTTGCGACAGTCCGTTAAATAGTACCGTGCTTAACGGGTTTTGTTGGTGCTCAGAACAACCTATAGTTTGTGTGCAAAGAAAATGTCTAAACTCATATTCCTAGCCGTACTTCTGTGGTTAGTGAGATGCGGTCGGTCCCAAATAGCTTGTGAGTTGATAGAGATAATTGATTAAACTCAAGAAGTACTCTTCTATTGTGATTGGATTAATACCTAAACTTCTATCACGTTTAATGAGTGTGCAGAACAAGAAACAATAATGTAACAGTTGAAAAGATGTGAAATATAGTTTAAAAATCATTATAAAATCCATTTCTAACTCACCTGAGTAATTATCCCACTCACTGCCATATTTCCTTAGTTACCAATCAGCCTTGCACGGTGAGAAATCCAAGATCGTGGGCGGTAGTGAGGCGGAACGCAATGAAATGCCCTTTATGGTCAGTCTAATGCGTCGTGGCGGTCACTTTTGTGGCGGCACCATTATCTCAGAGCGGTGGGTCCTTACAGCAGGACACTGCATCTGCAACGGGCTGCAGCAGTTCATGAAGCCCGCTCAAATCCAGGGAGTTGTGGGCCTGCACAGCATTAAAGAGTATCTCAATGGGATCGGCAACGGTCCAGATGCATTGAGAGTGGACTTTAAGAATATCGTGCCCCATCCGAAATATGACTGCAATGATGTTAAACATGATATAGGTACGTAATAACAGTATTTACCGATCTTTACTTAGCTACAACTTCTGAGAAATTTAGATACATATCTCTCAGTTATTCAAACCTAGTAAGTGTTCTCTTATCCTATAGCCTTTTGGAATTGGTGCAGCCAATCCAATTCACAGCCCAAATTCAGCCCAGTTGCGTGGGTTCCGACAAGGGACATCGCAGCCTGGAGCAGGAATATGGCACCGTGTCCGGTTGGGGCTGGACGCACGAGAACCAAGCGGAAAACGATCGCTCTGACGTTCTGCGTAAGGCCACCGTCAAGATCTGGAACAACGAGGCCTGCGAAAGATCCTACAGAGCGCTGGGCAAGAGCAACACAATTGGAGACACCCAATTGTGCGCTGGTTATGAAAACGGTCAAATCGACTCGTGTTGGGTGAGTATCCAACAGGAGGACAATGCACAAATGTTATGTTTTCGGCTTACTTGCACTTACAGGCGGATTCCGGTGGACCGCTTATGTCCAAGGAGCATCATCTGGTGGGCGTAGTGTCCACTGGAATTGGTTGTGCACGGCCAGGATTGCCAGGAATCTACACGCGTGTCAGCAAATACGTGGCCTGGATGCAGAATGTGATTGGGGGCAGGAAATAGTTACTCAGCAACGGGGCAATCAATTTTGTGATTCAACTGTGATATTAGTTGTTTTAAACTGTGATTTTGTTAATAAAGTTTGCACTGATCCAACGCTTTTCTTTCACAACCGCCATTTTCAGAGTTATCGATTGGCATGACAATCGATTACTCTGCGATTCCTTTTTGGTATTTAGTATTTATTTAGTATTTATTCAAAGTGACTTTTGATGAGTTAAATCAGGTTTAGATATTTTAACTGACTGTTTAAAAAATTAAAACATGGAAGAATAAATGAGTAATGTTTATTTTATGAACATATGAAAGAAATACTTGTGTTTATATTTTCATTATATTATTTTCTGTGCGGTATGGTTATATTCTTTAAGTCACACCTGGTCACATTCTTAACAACAAAACGAAAAGCCATAAATGGAAGAATCCGCTCTTACAAAGTAAATATCTTTAATAAATACAATAATAATTATAATTATAAATAACAATATTAAATCACTAGCCAGGCCATTGCCGAGTTAATGCTCGAGATCGAGGCCCCAAAATCACATACAGTAGCTTCAAGCAAAGCGAACGCAAGGTGAATCCTCTGGGCAAAACCAACAAACGCTTTTTGGGCCGCACCATTATTACGGCCATTCGCCATAATCGACGGGAGAAAGAGCGAACACAGGCGAATTGCCGTCAGAAGCTTAAGGATCTGGATGATATACACGAGAGAAGAAAGTCAAACTACTTTTACAACCAAGAAGCCATCAGAACTCGCGCAGAACCCGGAGCACAAGTCGTAGTTCCAGCAGCAGCCGCACTGCCAGTAGAAGCCGTAGTCGACGTCGCGTCAAGAAGTCCAAAAAGCGACGTAGCAGAAAGAGAAGCAGCAGCCGAACAGCAAAAGCCCTAGTCGCAGTCGCAGCCGTTCCCATCGAAAGAAGAACAAAAAGAAGACGAGAAAACATAGAAAATCTCATCACAAGAGCAGGCGTCGCAGCAGCAGCAGCAGTAGTCGCGATCGGAACTTTCACCAAGAGTTCATATACCCACCGCCGTTTCTACACCCACGGATGTGTACTTGAACATTCCAAGCAAATGGCTTTGGCCGTGGCCATGGCCTATGGCCAGGTCTTAAAAGCAAATAGCCTAAGGCTACAGCCGAAGAACGTGAATCTTCGCCCATGAGCGATATAGTCAAGGAGCTCATGTCCGATGGAGAGGATGAGAACCCAGGTCCAATTGACGTCCTCTCAATTTCATCGAACGACATAGGAGATAATGTCCTTACCTTCGATGTAAGCTCGAACTCCGCGTCCGACAGCGATTCCTCAACAGAAAGTTCGGATACAGCCGCTTCCAGCGCTGGCAGCTGTATAGCTCTGGATCAAATGGATAACAATAATAGTGATATAGAGATAATTGAATGCCCATACGATAAGGAAAAGAAGGTACCTGAGGCCGTTAATAAAAAGCAAAAGGTGAGGGAAAATCCCGGGCTCGACTCTGTGGACCTGACTGGAGATTAAGTAGCTTGGATTTTATTAGAATAATTATTTTTTTCCCAACATCATAGCATATATAGTATATGAATTCTTTGAGGTATGCTGCCATCTTATTAATTTGATTTAAATGTATATAATAATGTTATAGAAATATGTTATAAGCTCATGCCATTATTTTTTATGTTAGTTTCCCCTCATTAATTAAGTCAAAGAGACTGATTAAAAGCTTGTTAAATGATTGTACAAGAAAAATGTCAAGAGATTGAGATTAAATTGAATTAGTAGTACTTAAAAATCAGATAAACCTAAATTGAACACTTCCAGAAATTAAGATTATATTCTTATATGAATAACAATTAAATAATTCATTACCAAACTCCTGTGAAAACTCAAACCCTCGTTTTGCTGGGTATCACGTCAAACTGTTGCTCTCTCTGACCGATTTCTCTTTCTCCCAGTCTCGCTCTCTCTCGCCACCTGCAAAAACAGCTGATTCTTTATTTATTTCATTTTCGATGGAAAACGGCAGGAAAAAGACGTCAATTAGGAAACAATAATAATTAGTCCACAGCCACAGGATGTTCGGGAGTCTGAAGAAGAAACTGAGCAGCGCCCTTCAGGAGGGACTGGTTATATCGGAGAATCTGCAGCAGCAATATCGCCAGCGTGTCAGTTCCGGGAACGCGGGAAGTGGCCAGGCCAGTAGTGTTACGACTCCCACCTCCCCGACTGGAATCCCGCCGCTGGTCTCAACGAGAGCCTGTCCTCCAGCAGAAGCAGCAATCTCTCCCTGAGCACTGCCTTTCAGCTAACAGACGGGATACCAACGCACCTGAATGTGGCGGCAGGCTGCAGTTTGCTGGCGAAGTACGAGGATGACTGGCAGCACATCCATGTGGCCAATGAGGAGAATGCTGAGCAGGCGGCCGCGATTGCAACACAAATCGCCGGAGTGCAACAGAAGCCAGCAATCAGCGCCGGGTCGTTAGTGAGCTGAACGCCAGTCTGGCAGGGATTCCAACGCTAGTTGCTCAGCTGAAGGAGAGTTCGAAGGTGCTGCAATCCCTGGAGGAAATGGGCAAGCAGCTGGAAATGGAACTAGAGAAGCTGGAGGACCTGTGCGAGGAGTGCGAGCTGCAGGAGTTCATGCTGGAGCAGCAGTTCCAGCTATCCGACACAAGCAAAAGAAGCTCAACGAACTGGAGCAGTACCGCCAGAAGGTTGCGTCTCAGCATCAATCCAAGATCAAGGATCAGGAGCAGCGGCTACTGAAGCTGCAAAGGGAGCGACAGGCGGTCTTTGACGATGCCTTCCGCAATGATATGGAGGAGTACAAGCAGCACGGCCAGCTTACAAGTAATGTGAATTGAAATCCTTCAACAGCCAATATTTAAAGCTATTTCTTTGTTTGCAGAAATTCAAACGAGCGGCAACAAGTTGGCCTTGGAGGAAGTGGTTCTGGAACCCAACGAGGTGGAGACAAAGGATGCTTTGGAGCAGTTCCTAAACGGTTGATCGGTTGTTAGGGCTTTTAAGTCGAGACTCCTCCCATTTGTGCCTTTAAGTGCAATTTAAAACGTTAAAAACAGTCTGGCAACGTCATCAATATGAAACACCAGCTGCTGACAGCCTCTTCGTTTTATAAATTTTTACTACATTATAGTCTACTCGTTTTTATTGTATAGAAACTTACAAATTAGATGACCTGTATCTACATATTTTTATGAAGATATACATATATTAAATCATCAAAGTATATTCCGCCATGTTTTCGATTACGCGATGGTTAGTTCGCGCATGTTGGCAACTCTGGTTCTACAAGAACAACAACATTGGGGGCGATTAAAAAACATCAATAAAAAAGTCTTAATTCCACGCAGCTTACACCTGTCGCAGCTTTCGTATCATCCCGCTCTACCCGCCAAGTTTCCGTACCCCCTCCTTGGTGAGCTCGAGCTTATGGGAGCAGTTGGATCAGCGCTGAGACCAAAACTCGTCGACATGTCTTCCAAGCAAGCGAAATTCGTTGAGAACACGGTGGCCAGCAACAAGTGGTTATCTTCAGCAAAACCTATTGTCCCTACTGCACTATGGCCAAGGAGGTGAGTGGATCAGACCTTCAAAGGTCGCCTAACATGATTAATCTAATCTAATTGTGGTTGCAGCCTTTCAAAAGTTAAACGTGGAGGCGACAATCATAGAGCTTGACGGCAATCCGGATGGGAATGAGATTCAAGCGGTTCTCGGCGAGATCACGGGCGCCAGGACGGTTCCCCGGGTCTTCATCGATGGCAAATTCATTGGAGGTGGCACAGACATTAAGCGAATGTTTGAAACGGGAGCCTTGCAAAAGTACTTCCAGTAAATGTAGAGGTCCTTAAGCATAGTATGCATGAAGCTCCTTTTTATTTATCAAAAGGTTAGAGCACATTTTATCTAGTTAAATGTTCAAAGTCCTAAATAAATTCTTTTAAAATTTTAAATTGAGTCTGCTTATAGGACCACCAAAAGTAAATATAAATAGTAGTTCCTAGGGAGTCACGGGAAATTAGGAGGTGAGTTTTGAGGGGTTTTAAATAGATGCAGTATTTAAGTTTCTTATAATATAGTGGTTTATAAATCTAAATTCATGGCAAGATCAGAATTTATATAAGAAAATTGTATTTAAATATATATTATTCCATGAAGCTATAGAAACAGCTGTTTTACAGAGTTGCCATCTTTTTATAATTGAAGGAGTCATGTATGAATTGAATTTCATTATTATTTTAGAGATCTATCGATAACTTTGTTAAACAGCTGTTTAGAAATCTAACACAACAGTTGTCTTGTTATTAATATTTGTTTGTTTAATTTATCCATATAGGGAGCAAATTCCCGAACTTAATTAAATAATTCCATAAATGTTGATTTTAGTAAGCGGAGAGGCTTCCGAATCTGATGATGAGCTACAGGACAAGCACAAGGTAAAGGCAAAAATCAATAATTTAAGGTTCCCATAATGGTATTTACGCTTTTATGACAGATTTTCGCTGCTGAAGTTCCTGGAGAGGCTTCAGAGGAGGACGACGATGATGAGGACATCTACGAACAGCGCAGGAGCAACCAGGTTAACAGCACCACGGCCTCCATTTACCGGAACAACCTGCTCCAGCGGAAACTGAGTATAGCCAACTACATTTCCCTAAACTACTTAAATAAATATATTAATTTGTATTCACCGTTTTCCAGTTGAAAATAACATTGCCATTTGGAGATCTTTTACTGCCTTCACCCGCAGTTTCGTATTGAATGCCTCCAAGCAGCTGGTGACCACGGATCAGATGCTCATCAAATCTCAACTTAATCTGCAGTCAGCACACACCTCCCTGCAGCAGGCCCAAAGGAATGCTCAGGAACTGCAGGCAAGGATGTGTGCCGTGATGACGAGCAGCTTTCTGCCACATATTAACAACGTCGAGAAGGCTGTCTGACTATTCTATCCTATTATTTGTATTTGCCGAGATAAACGAACAAAGTGTATGTTAATCTTCAGTATCGGAATTCGGCGCATAGGCTTGACTATTTGGCGAAGGCTCTCGAGGAACGTAGGTGTTCTGAAAGCATCTGGAAAAGATGGTTCGCATTTTCGTGGGACGCTCCGGCGATGGTGGTATGGTTTCATCCTCATCGGAGGGCATCGCTGGGGTCGGCGTATCTTCAGAGTTGTAAAAGCACACCTCCGTGCTGGCTGGCGCCGTAACTGGAGCTATACTCCCCTCTAAGGCATCTGCAGCTGCCAGCATCATAGCCTCCTCATCTGCCTCGTCCTCAATCAGAACCACAGTGTCCACCTCCGCTAGGTTTCGTGGCTGCTGCACAGAAGCCTGCTGTGCCTCAGAATGTCGGAACTGGAAAAGAGGAGTTTCCAAGCTGCTCTCCGGCGGCTGGGTCTCTTCCAGGAATCTTCGCTTTCGCTGCACTACAGGCGGTTCCGATTGCTTGCTCTTGCGTTTGCTGGCTACACTTGGTCCGGGAGTGCTGCTCTTTCGCTTTGAGCTCGGAGCTGTCTCCGCCGACGTTGCGTTTTGCACATCTTCTTCCTGAGCACTCAACTCCCGTTGACAGTAATCATCCGAGAAACTTACGTCGTCCGGTGACAGCGTGGACATAATAAGCAAACACTCAATCTCACCGTGTTTCTTGACTTTCAGAAGAAATGGGCGACCGCCATCATCGAACTCCAGGTTTAGAGATGCATTCAGACACTCGGCGAAGAGGAGAAAGGCCCGAAACTCCTTGATGCAAAACGTAATAATAGTTTCCTTGGTCACCTGGTACTGGTCGAATTCATTGGCTTGAGTTTCAGCTGCGTCCGCATAAACTTGTCATTCACTCGGGCTCCTTCTATATAGTTCTTGGCCACCAAGCTGCCAGAGTTTGCCTCCAAGGTAAGCTCCTCCTCAGTCGTGTTAAAATTGTTGGATATGTCCATGAATAGTTTGTGATCGCCGCGGATTCTGAAAGGATATGACATTTTAGACCTTGTAAGTCTTAGATCCATAAACTTACACATTTGGCATTTGGTCTGTGTCGATGTTTGTATTAATGTTTTGATCATCTATTATTGAAATGGTGGCCTCTTTGGTCGTCTCTAGCTTGCAGCGTAGATTAACCTGCAAATTGGTTTGATCGTCCAGTATGTTAAGCTCACAGTACTCCACCTGGAATGAGGATTTCCATCAGTTAACCCGAATGGTGAAACAGCTGCCACAACCTTACCTCGGTCATGTTCCGGAAAACGGCCAAGCAACCCTTCATGGAGATTTTGCAATAGAAACCCGAGTTGGCTGGCGTATCGAAGATCTCGAACATGGAACGTTAAAGAATATGCTCCCCACAGCCGACTGAGTGGCATTTATAGCCCTCATTTGTAATCCTTCTGTATCGATCTCAATGAACATTTCCTTGCCCACTTTGGACAGGGATTGTACGGCTTTGGCGATGACTGCAATTTGATGAGATATACTTAAAACATAGGTCTTTAAAGTGTATGATAGGTTTACCCCTTGCATTGCTGCCTTCTAAGGTATATTTCATTGGCAAATTATTCACAGAATGTGTCGGCAACAAGAATTCGCGCTAAATTTGTAAACAAACCGATTAGAGTGACCGACGGGGGAAATATCGCTCACCAAAAATATCATTTAGTATTTTTAAATACCGTAGTTATCGATAGTCTTCCACTTGCTGCCTGGTCACACTGTGCACGGCAGGCCGGTCGAACGCCACATCAGTTCTAAACTTAATTAACAATAAAAGTGGGCTAAAACCAGCTAAAACTTTGGTGGAAAAGTGTAAACCTCTTAAGGAGGTTCTTCTTTGTGTTGGCGCAACCGTTATGTGCGTAGCCAGAATCTCGTAGCAAAACGTAAAGTGCCAAACAACAATGTTACGTGCCGCATCTATGTGTGTGTCTGTGTTGGGGCTCCTGGGGTTACTTGCGGCTCCGTCGTTTCCGCCGAATCGAGTCAGAGCTATCCAATCACCACACTGATCAATGCCAAATGGACACAGACACCGCTATACTTGGAGGTGGCCGAATATCTGGCCGATGAGCAGGCGGGCCTGTTCTGGGACTACGTACAGGGAGTGACCAAATGGACACGGCATTGAATGAATACGGTTTGTGTTTACCCCTTTAAAATATAGATATTTCCTATATAGACAGTTTTCCTTTGCAGATACCGAATCGCAGCAGTATAATGCCGCCTTGGAGCTGGTGAAGAGCCACGTGAGTTCGCCCCAGTTGCCGCTGCTTAAGCTGGTCGTGTCCATGCACAGCCTGACGCCCCGAATTCAGACGCATTTCCAACTGGCCGAGGAACTGCGCAGCGGTGGCTCCTGCCAGGGCTACACCTTTGTCCAGGTGGGCACTGAATTGGCTTGCAGTTTCAATGAGTTGCAGAAAAAGTTGGATTTGCCGCTGGCCAAGGACAGTTTGGATGCTCCGGTGGTAACCTACAGCTTTGATCACATCTTCCCCGGCAGTGAGAACAATACACGGACCGTGGTGTTGTATGGAGACCTGGGCAGCTCTCAGTTCCGTACCTATCACAAGCTGCTGGAGAAGGAAGCGAATAACGGTAAGATTCGATATATTCTACGTCATCAGTTGGCTAAGAAGAAACGAGACCGGTACGTCTTTCTGGCTACGGCGTGGAACTCCACCTGAAGTCCACGGAATACAAGAGCCAAGATGATGCACCCAAGCCTGAGGCGGGCGCATCTTCTGACGAGGATTTGGCCAATGAATCGGATGTTCAAGGTTTCGATTTCAAAGTGCTAAAGCAGAAGCATCCCACGCTGAAGAGGGCGCTGGATCAGTTGCGTCAAAGACTCCTGCAGGGCAATGACGAGATTGCGCAGCTGAAAGCCTGGGAATTCCAGGACCTGGGTCTTCAGGCAGCCGCTGCTATAGCCGAGATTCAAGGTGATGAGACCTTGCAAATTCTGCAGTACACTGCACACAATTTCCCCATGTTGGCCAGAACTCTGTTGGCCCACAAAGTGACGGATGCGCTGAGGGCGGAGGTAAAGCACAACACCGAGGCGTTTGGCCGAAGCTTGAACGTGGCGCCACCAGATGGTGCTCTGTTTATCAACGGACTCTTCTTCGACGCGGATACCATGGATTTGTACTCCCTAATTGAGACGCTGCGGTCGGAAATGCGCGTCCTTGAAAGCCTGCACAGCAATAACGTGAGGGGTAATTTGGCTAGCTCCCTACTGGCTTTGGATCTCACCGCATCCAGCAAAAAGGAGTTTGCCATCGACATCCGTGACACGGCAGTGCAGTGGGTAAATGATATCGAGAACGATCCACAGTACCGGCGGTGGCCATCGTCTGTGATGGATCTCCTGCGGCCCACATTCCCTGGCATGCTGAGAAACATCCGAAAAAATGTATTCAACTTGGTGTTGGTGGTCGATCCCCTGCAGCCGACAGCCAGAAGCGTGATTAAGCTATCCGAATCGTTTGTCATTCATCAAGCTCCCATTCGCTTGGGCCTGGTCTTCGACGCCAGGGATGCCAGTGAGGATAATCGAGAGGATTACATAGCCATCAGTTGTGCCTTTAACTATGTGAGTCAGAAGAAGGATGCCCGAGCTGCTCTGAGTTTCCTCACGGACATCTATGCATCCGTTGGCGAGACGAAGGTCGTAACGAAAAAGGATATTGTGAAACAGCTCACCAAGGAGTTCACCACTCTCAGCGCCAGCAGGGCGGAGGAGTTCTTGGAGGAGGATGGCACCTACGATTATGGCCGAGAGTTGGCCGCTGAGTTCATTCAACGTTTGGGCTTCTCCGACAACAAGGGACAGCCGCAAGCCCTGCTCAATGGTGTCCCCATGCCGAGCAACATTGTGACCGCCGATAGTGACTTTGAAGAGGCCATCTTTACGGAAATTATGAGTCATACCACCAACCTGCAAAAGGCCGTATACAAAGGTGAAATGACCGACAGCGATGTGGCCATTGACTATCTAATGAATCAGCCACACGTAATGCCCAGATTGAATCAAAGGATTCTCAGCCAGGAGGATGTGAGATATTTGGACATTAATGGTGTCGCCTACAAGAATCTGGGGAATGTTGGTGCCTTGAATCGTCTCTCCAATCGGGATATGACCGCCACGTTGATGGAGAATCTCAAGTACTTTGGTGGCAAGAAGTCCACGGAGCAAATTGGTCGCTCATCGCTGCAGTTCCTCACGATTTGGGTATTTGCTGACTTGGATACAGAAGAGGGCCGATCCCTGCTCACGCACGCCCTCGAGTATGTTCAAAGCAGCGAAAGTGTCCGCTTGGCTTTTATTCCTAATACAGAAAGCGTCTCCGCCAAGTCCGACAAGAAGAACCTCAATCGTTTGGCCTGGGCCGCCGTGCAGAGCCTGCCGGAGCCCAGTCAAGCCACGGAGCTGGTTCTCAAGTGGCTGAAGAAGCCGAAGGAGAAGATTGAGATACCCGCGCAGCTGGAGGATATACTTGGTTCCACGGAGCTTCACCTGAAGATGTTGCGAGTGTATTCGCAGCGTGTTCTTGGTCTGACCAAGTCCCAGCGCTTGGTTATTGGCAATGGACGTCTGTACGGACCTCTGGCCGCCGAGGAGACCTTTGATAGCGCCGACTTTGCCTTGCTGGCCCGTTTCAGTTCCCTGCAATATGGCGATAAAGTGCGTCAAGTGCTCAAGGAATCGGCTCAAGATGTCCGAGAGGAATTCACCAGCGACACCCTGCTCAAGCTATACGCAAGCCTACTTCCTCGGCAGACTAAGACGCGTTTCAAGTTACCCACGGACCTGAGATCGGATCATTCGGTTGTGAAGCTGCCACCCAAGCAGGAGAAACTTCCTCACTTCGATATAGCAGCTGTTTTGGATCCCGCATCGCGAGCAGCTCAGAAGCTAACACCTATCCTGATACTCCTACGCCAGGTTTTGAACTGCCAATTGAATCTCTATTTGATTCCCGTGCCCCAGCATAGCGATATGCCCGTGAAGAATTTCTACAGATATGTGGTGGAGCCTGAAGTGCAATTCGAATCAAGTGGCAGTCGATCGGAGGGACCTTTGGCCAAGTTCAGTGGATTGCCCGCCAATCCTTTGCTCACCCAACAGTTGCAGGTTCCCGAAAACTGGCTGGTGGAGGCTGTAAGAGCTGTTTACGATTTGGATAACATCAAGCTGACCGATATCGGTGGACCCGTGCACAGTGAATTCGATTTGGAGTACTTGCTATTGGAGGGACACTGCTTCGATGCCGCCAGTGGAGCTCCGCCCAGAGGATTGCAGTTGGTTTTGGGCACTCAGAGTCAACCGTCGCTGGTGGACACCATTGTAATGGCAAATTTGGGTTACTTCCAGCTGAAGGCCAATCCCGGAGCTTGGTCCCTGCGACTTCGTGATGGAAAATCCTCGGATATCTATGGAATAAGTCACATTGAAGGCACCAATACCCATCACACGGCTGGATCATCGGAAGTTCAAGTTCTAATTACTTCTCTGCAATCCCATGTCATTAAGCTGAGAGTCGCTAAAAAACCTGGAATGCAGCAAGCGGAACTCCTCGCCGATGACAACGAACCGGCGGCACAATCGGGCATTTGGAACAGCATCGCCAGCAGCTTTGGCGGTAGCAATGGCAACCAAGCGGTTACTGATGAGGACACGGAAACCATTAATATCTTCTCTGTGGCCTCGGGACATTTGTATGAACGTCTGCTGAGGATTATGATGGTGTCCCTGCTGAAGCACACCAAGTCCCCGGTGAAGTTTTGGTTCCTAAAGAACTACCTTTCGCCTCAGTTCACAGATTTCCTGCCGCACATGGCCAGCGAGTATAACTTCCAGTATGAATTAGTCCAGTACAAGTGGCCACGTTGGCTTCATCAGCAGACGGAGAAGCAGAGGACCATTTGGGGCTACAAGATCCTCTTCTTGGACGTACTGTTCCCGCTGAATGTGAGGAAGATTATTTTCGTGGATGCCGATGCCATTGTGCGAACTGATATCAAGGAACTGTATGACCTGGATCTCGGAGGAGCGCCCTATGCCTATACACCATTCTGTGATTCCCGCAAGGAGATGGAGGGCTTCCGGTTCTGGAAGCAGGGTACTGGAGGAGTCACCTGATGGGCCGACGGTACCACATTTCTGCCTTGTATGTGGTCGACTTGAAGAGGTTTAGGAAAATTGCAGCTGGAGACAGGTTGAGAGGTCAATACCAGGCTCTCAGCCAGGATCCCAACAGCTTGTCCAATTTGGATCAGGATTTGCCCAATAATATGATCCACCAGGTGGCCATCAAGTCACTGCCCGACGATTGGCTCTGGTGTCAGACATGGTGCAGCGACACCTCCTTCAAAACTGCCAAGGTGATCGATCTGTGCAATAATCCGCAAACCAAGGAGGCCAAACTGACGGCCGCCCAGAGGATTGTGCCCGAGTGGAAGGACTACGATGGTGAGCTGAAGACTTTAATGGCTCGCATCGAGGACCATGAGAATACGCATGGCAGTAGGGATAGCAACGATGATGATCCAATAGTGCAAGATCCGCTGGAGGTCACCACGGTGACGCCTTCGCATGAGCCCAAACACGGCGAGCTGTGATCCACGCCCGTAGTTAAATCAAACGAGTTTTAGTGAATTTAAGTCCGGATATCAACACAACTTGATTACTACTTTAGCTAAGACACCCCCCGCCCCATCCCTCGACACATAATTGTACATTTTAATTAGAATCTACTCACAAATATCGACTCACTAAAGAAGTCTGAAAATTTTCTTTTTGATTTCGTTTTCTTGTCTTGCATTCCAAGCGCTCTATGGCCACTAATTGAATTAAGCTGAAAATATGTAAAATGTCATAAAGCAGAATGCGCCTTTAAGTTAAAAGTTCTTTGAAATGTATTAAAAGCTGTGGAGTAAATAGTAATTAAAATTAATATTGCAAATATTTATTGGGGGTCAGTAGTTGCTACTTATTAAGCAAGAGAAAAAATTATAAAAAGGATTTAAAGGTTTTGAAATATTCCAAGACACATCAAGACAGTGTTTTATTTTAGTTTTTATTTCAAATTATAATTTGAATTTTATTTTTGTTTGTGTGTATCTACATAAAGAAATTATTTTATAATTTTATTATAATGCTGCTGCTTTACCTTTATGTATTTAGCACTTAAGAATGAATTTTGTTTAGCAATTTATTTGTTGTTTGATAAATTTTCATTTTGGTATTCTTTTTGTTTGTTTGTAAGGCAGACAGTGCAGTCCAAAGAAGTGGATCTTTATATCATATTTATTGTTAAGTTTGATCTTCTTCTCGGTTTAGGTTTTATTTTTATTATTATTGTATTCCCTCAGCGAATTGCGTTCCCATTAATTTAGTTTAGCGTTTCTAATAAATATATTTTTAAAAGTTTACTCTTCAATTCGGTTATCCAAACTAACGCTGAGTGTAGTATACATACGATAGTTCATTAAAGCTTTCATTTTTTATTCAATATTTTTTGCTCAATATGTTAGTTATATATGTTTTGGTTCAGACTACGCCATTCTATATTCGCTTTGAACTAGATCATAAGTGTGTAAGGGAACTATATAGTTAACATATTCTGGTTAGGGCTCGCTTCTCGATTAAATTATTTAATAAAAAAATGCGGCTGTCAAAAGGTTCATTATCCTTGTCAGTTTTGAGTGTGAAATTGATCTGTATCTGGTAAATGGTTTCTTGTATCTGTATCTTGCGCTTCTCTTACTTGCTAAGAATTGACGAAACTACAAAATTAGACTGTTATTCCAGTTTGTTCTCTCATATCTGTATTTCTGTATCTGTAGTCTTTGTTATCATCATCAGTTTAAAAAATGGTATAGGCATATTTTATTTTTGAATGAATGCTTTCCCCCCGATTCTTGAGTTCGATTCGTTGTATATGTATGTATATATTGCTTTAATCCAGATGTTTATACATATCCTCCAGTTGAGGTTTGAAGTAGCTCTTTAGTTGCGGTCTCTTGGCTTTGAATGTGGGTGTTAGCAGTCCATTTTGCACAGAGAAGGGATCCGGATGCAGGTAGACATCTTTTACCTAAATTTAATCATATTTTTAACAGGATAATTTTATAAATATTTGGTTGTATATATTACCTGTTCGAATGACTTGAGTCCGCTCTGCTTGCCCCAGTTGAGCATGTCGTTCATGATCAGTTCCTTGACATTCTTATTATTGCACAGGACGGAGAGTGTGCCGCGTACATTGTTCTCCGTGGCCCATTGCTTCAGTACATCGACATCAGGTACAACGACAGCGATAATGCAGCTCTAAAAAACAGTTTAAAAAATATAATTAATAATTTTACTTAAATTTTTGTTAAGATTAAATCAAAATTCCCTATATTCATAGTAGATTTAGAGGTGCAATTCATTTAATTATCAATTAAAACATTTTCTTTTAAGATACATACAAATAACTCATACGCCACGTAATCTATTCAACATTTTCTTCTAGAAAATCTTTGCTTATTTCTTAATACTATTTAAATGAAGTTTTTTTTAAAATAAATAAATAAATCCAAAAGCGGATCGAACGACTATATAGCTATATTTCATATATCTGTCATGGGAACGTTTGGGGAAATTTAAAGAAAGCAAATAATAAATTTAAATAATTTAAATTTAAATTTACATTTAATTAAAATATTTATGTATTATTTTATAATTTCAGTTTTAAATTTAATAGGATCAGACCCATATAACATATAGCTAGCAGAGGAACGATCGGAGAAACATGCAAAACTCCCTTACTCTCTGATTGTAGCGAGAGTAAGAGCTTTCTCTATTTCTATGCCTCTGCCCTCCATCTCTAACTCTCACTCTCCCTTGCGCTCTCGCTCTCACTTTCTCTGTTCTCTTGGCTCGGGAAGTATAAATAGAGGCGCTATCGGCCCGCGCGCATCAGTCTGTCCGTGGGGTACCTGGTGTTAACATCGATGGTGATAGTGAAAGTGACTACTCTTCGGCCTCAAATATATGACGTGGCCAATGGAATACATCCGGATGATGACCAGGAAGATTTCTTCGATCCCATGATAACATCGATGGTGATAGTGATAGTGACTACTCTTCGGCCTGAAAAACATGACGTGGCCAATGGAATATATCCGGATGATGACCAGGAAGATTTCTTCGATGCCATTATAACATCTATGGTAATAGTGATAGTGACTACTCTTCGGCCTGAAAAACATGACGTGGCCAATGGAATATATCCGGATGATGACCAGGAAGATTTCTCCGATGCCATGATAACTTTAATTTATGTCACCACAATTGGAAGGAATTAAGCAATGACGAAGAAGTCCCCTACAGTGGTAAGTCTTAATCATGGATATTATATCATATAGATAAACAGATGCTATAGGAGTGATCAGGGCTAGGTCTAGAATTATATTCATAAATAGATTCTGTAGGAGTGATCAGGGCTAAGTGTAGAATAAGATTTGCTAGCTCTTCACTTATTTTCGAATTAATCATTTATTGCCACGGACCCCAATGTTTAATTTTAATTTAAAGTGATACAGCAATTGTATTAATGATATTTATGAACTCAAAGTTAATAGCCTGACTTAATTATGTATATTTTAAAACTGACCCAACTTTTGCTATATTATAAGACCCTTGGCAGGGTATAAGTTCAGTTAATAGCTTAAAACACATCAAAGGAGTCATTTCCGACCCTATAAATCATATATATTCGTGATCAGCAGGAAAAGCCGAATCGATCTAGCTATGTCTGGCAGAAAAAATTTTTCATAATTTTTTTCCACATTTTTTAAGATGTTAAGATTGTAAAAAAAATTACAAAAAATTGAATTTTTTAAATTCTAAATCTCAGTATCCAGATATGTTAACCTAAGAAAAACTAGCACAGTAAAGTTTTCCGAATTAAAATTAATGCGTTTTTGGCTGAGTTATGATATTTGAAAAACTTTGATTTACCCAAAAAAATAGCGTATAAAAATATAGATTTAATATATCTAGAATATACATACATATATGCTAAAAGTCATAAATATTTATATTTGCAATTAAAATCTTAATCAATAAAGAATAAAAGATTCCCGAAGTAAGCTACCTGTTTTTGTTTATAGTTATGATTCTTAGGTGCTTAAGTTTCTTGAAATATTACTCATACGCCATGTAAGTCAGTACGAATTTTATTCCAGTAAATTTTAACTTAATTTTGGACTATTTGCAATTAAAATTTTAATCAATAACGAACAACGATTCTCAAAGTTAATTTCTTTTTTGTTTGTTTTATAGTAATTTTAAGTGCTTAAGTTTCTTGATATATTACTCATACGCCACGTAAGCTATTACAAATTGAACACCAGAAAATCGTTACTTAATTCTAATTTGGTCTAAGTTAGGCTATTTCTTACTATATAATTAAAAAAATAATTTCCGATCTCAAAGTTTTAAGTGTTATATATTACTCATACGACAAGTAAGCCATTGTCAAAGTGTTTTCTAAAAAATGTCTATTTTAAATTTATGAATTTATTTTCTATAAAAAAAAAAAAGCTAAATAAATAAAATATATATATATATATATATATATATTTGCAGTCACACGATTATTTTTTAACTACAACAGTGCGTATGAGTAATAATATTTGAAGCCAAAAACCAAACTTAAACTCATAATGTAAATAAATATTGTTCATATAAATAATATTATATTAAACACTCACCTTTAAGCTCTCTCCATAAACATAAACTTGATTAACATATTGACTGAGTGTATAGATATTCTCGATTTTCTCCGGAACTATATACTCTCCCTGGCTAAGCTTGAAGATGTGCTTGCGCCGATCGATAATTCGCAGGGTTCCATTGGGAAGCCACATGCCACATCTCCAGTATGATGCCAGCCCTCGGAATCGATGGCCTCTGCCGTCTTCTCGGGATCCTTATAGTAACTGCAAATATAAATCAAGATTTAAATACCAATCCTAAAGTTAAAACTTGTGACTTACCCATGGAACACATTTGATCCTCGCACACACACCTCCCCCGTATTTTGATTGGCAAAGTACTCCATCTCTGGCACATCCACCAGTTTCACAGCATTGCAGGACACCGGCGGACCCACATGATTGGGCACATGATCTCCCTGAACTGTTAGGGTAATGGCTCCCGTACACTCCGTCTGGCCATATCCCTCCAGAACCAGACAGCCCAAGGCACAGCGCATAAAGGTGAGGACATTGCCCGCCAGTGGAGCTGAACCGACGACCATGAGACGCAGGTTGCCGCCAAAGGCCTGATGTACCTTCTTGAAGACCAGCTTGTCCCAGCAACCATTCCTTCGCAGGACACCCCGTGCGATCTCCTTCTCCTTGGCCCTCATGGCCATGTTGAACAGGCCCCTCTTCAATCCTGAAGCGGATATATCATTTTGAATCTTATCGTAGACGCGATTCAGGAGTCTAGGCACCGCCGGCATAACCGTGGGCTTCAGCATCTTCAAGTCATTCGTTAGTTCTTTGATATCGCCTGAATAGAAACCCACACAGCCGCCCACATAGTACATTCCATTCTCGCAGCACCGTTCAAACATGTGAGCCAATGGCAGGAAGGAAACCATTACATCACCCGCCCGGATACGATGATCACCCATCTGCAGGATCACAGAACAGACGCCGGCCACCACATTCCCGTGGGTGAGCATAACGCCCTTGGGATTCCCTGTCGTTCCAGAGGTATAGCACACTGTGCACAAATCCTCGGCCGTTGGTGGCACTTCCGGATGGTTACCCTTGGCGCCCAGCTTCTCCACATCAATGAAGGAGAATATCTGAATGCCTCGACTACGTGCTCGTTCCAGAGTCGTCTGGCGGATGGGTTTAATGGCCACAATGATCTTTAGGCTC